CGTCGCAGCGCCCCCGCATCCGCCCCCACCGGCGCCCCGCCTCCCGTGACACGACATCTCGAGCAGGCGGCGGACGAGGACGCGAAAGACGCCGCATGTGTTATTCTTACGTGAAATCGCTGGGGACGAGAGAGTTGTGCAATTAGAAATGTTGCATGGAGAGGACGCCCCACTTGGCGGTTAGCAGGGCGAGGGTAGGATGATTTACGGTAGTTTTTTTCTCAGCTTCGAAGTGTCGTGTAATCACAGTTAGGTAATGGATGGTGAATAACATATACGACACGATAGCTTAAGGTGTCATCCGAATCAAAAAAAAGTGGTGCTAAGTAAACCTTTCACTGAAACACGAGTTTACGAATACCTTTTCTCGCTGCTTATGTTCTGAATATAAACATCATTTCTCATACATTAAGAAAGTGCACATCCTTTCACTTGCAGCCGGTTTCTCATCGGGGAAAAAGTATATCGTATTTATTGCGTTGGGTTCAACCCAAGTAATAGATCTGAAGAAGTGCGGATTGTGTGCCTAGCTAATAAAAATCCTCACTAGAATTTTAATAAAGTATTTCTTGCTGCACTTTGCACTAAATGTTTAAAGAAATATCGACGTCAATATAGTAAGGTTATAAAATATTTCCACAGTAATTAAACAAAATATTTGAAGAAGTAATACTCGTCTCTTCAATGTTTCAATACAATTTGTGAGACAATTAATAGCGGAAAATGTTAGGTTATAAAAGGTTTAAAGCTGACAAAGTAAGTGAGCTCTCTTGTAACGGGCATCATAGAAAGTATCCTAATATGCATTGCACTGGTTCGACTTTGATACTGTTTAATATTATAAATATATATCTTAATCTTAGTTACATATATTTTCTAATATTCATTTCACCAATACGAATAACTACGAACTTTAATTTTTCTGATGAAATCATAAGTCTTAAGTGAAATGTATCATCACATTTTCAGAAAACAGTCGGGCATACGTTATTCCTAGGTACTGACGATTAAGACGTACTAAGTGTACGTATGTTACGTGTAATTGAACACAAATTAAAAGTAAATTCGACAATATAAAAATTACAATTCTTGCAATGATTGAATTTTGCACCATTCTAGTTCTGGAGAAGCTATGTAACTTAATATAAAATTCAAGAGTAGATATAAAATCCAGAACTAGAATAGGAAATGAATATTTTCTGAAAACAAAGTGTCGGTTTCGTCTGGTTCCGCTCGTATGTATTATCTACAAACGCGACTACCATGCACTTTGCTTGTTCTATAACGTGTTTATTCTTTGCCGTGCAGACGCTGCCTCTCCTGGCGGCCGCAGTGCTGCTCCTGGCGGCGGCGCCGTGCACTGCCCGCCGCGTGCGCGTGCGGCCGACGCAGCGCCAGCCGGCCGAGGAGGAGCCGTCGGCGCCCGCCGCCGACCAGGAGCCCAACCCGCAGCAGATCCGCTACTACGCGGCGCAGCCGGCCGACGCCGACGACGCGCAGCAGGGCGGCGTCGTGCTGGTGTCGAGCGACGCCTACAACGGCCTCTACGGCCGGCCGACGGCGCGCGCGCAGACGGACGTGTCCGAGGCGCAGCTGCGCTCGGCGCTCGCCTCCTCGCGCGCGTACAGCGCCGCCGCCGCGCAGGTGGCTGCGCGCCCGCGCGTCAAAGAAACGGCCAAGCAACCGCCCGTGCAGACCATCCGCAACTACAGCAAAGTCAACGACGACGGCTCCTTCACCTTCGGCTACGAAGCGGCTGACGGGAGTTTCAAGGAAGAAACTCGCGGCACAGACTGCGTCGTGCGCGGCAAGTACGGCTACATCGACCCCGACGGCAACAAGCGCGAGTTCACGTACGTGTCGGGCAACCCGTGCGACCCCAACGCCGTGCACGAGGAGGAAGAGGAGGAGGACCAG